GCGGGCCCTGGGCTTTCGGTGTTGCGGGAAGGGTGCGGGCCCTGCGCGGCGGGCGCAGTTTGGGAGCGCGTACCCAGGGGACAGTGAGGACAGTGGTCTGTCACCCGCGCCCCAGCCTGCTGCAGGGCCTCTCCACCGCATGAGCACCCGCAGGAAGGACCTTAAAGGACACGTCGGAGTGCCTCTGGGCTTTGGGAGCGCCGGAGGTACCTCCTTCGTCCTACCGGCGGTGACCCAGGTGGCGGGGGGCTGCAGCCCGTGCTCTGCGGGGCGAGGCTGAGGGAACAGGGCTGGTTCAGCCAGGAGAGGGGACAGCTTCGGGGGGACCCAGCGGCAGCCCAGCAGCGCTACCAAGAAAACAGGCTCTTCACAGTGGTGGGAGGACAAGAGGCAACGGGCATTACCGAAAACAAGAGAGGTGCAGACGTGACGTTAGGAGAAACTTGGTCCCTATGAGGATGGCTGAGCAGCGTAGCGGGCTGTCTGGGGACGTTGTGCAGTCTCCATCCTTGGAGGCGTTTGATGACCGACCGGATAAAGCCCCAAGCAGCCTGATCTGACCTCAGAGCAGACCCCGCTGCGAGCAGCAGGTTGGAGTAGAGGCCTCCTGGGGGTCCCTTCCCACCTGAAGGACTTGGTGAACCTGCGCTGAGTCAGCCACGTGCTGCCAGGCGGCGCTGCTGAAGTCAGGGATGACATCACACCAGGGAAACAGGACAGCTACAGCTTAGCAAAACCAAATAATTAGATATGTCTGCAGAAAGAGAGTTTGGAAATCGTTAAATGGGAGAATAACGAGGTTAGTATTTGACCTAATTGACATGAGAACTTTTAATATTAATCTCAAGAGGTTTGGAGAGGATTTGAGAGGTACAGAAAGCTTGAGCAGAACAGAAGGGCTTGCTTCTGTATCATGGGTGGTTAATTTAACTAAAGGACAGCCAGTTTTGCTGTTCAGGAGAGATTTGTGGTTTAAAGCCTGTATATGTAAAACAATCCTGATCTCAACCCACCAAAAAGGAAACTGAGGCATGAGAACAAGGCATGGTCATTGTTTTCCTTGGATCTGCAGGTATAGGAACCCCTATATTATGTATCTGGTTTGTTTCACTGACAGTGAGTCTCTGAAGAGATTAACTGATATTCAGCGCATACGTAGTGCTGGAGTTCTCAATCGAAGGTGATGTGCTTAAGCTATTAACATATCTGGTGAGCAGAAGGGAGACGAGGCTATGGGCCAGGAGCTGGAACATGCGGTAGGTACCCCTCTTGCTAAGAGACAGCAAGCGTTCGGGCGGTACAACAGAAAGCAAGGAGGTGGGCGCTGTTGTGACCTACACACACAACTTAAGAAACTGCAGATCAACAGGACCTTTAAACATGGTAGCGTGGTGGCTGCTCAACTGCAGAAGCTCATCAGGGTGTGAGAGAAGCAGCCATTCACGCTAAAAGCACACCCTCTTCCCCTACCTTTTGCCGAAAAAAATCACACAGCAAAAATGCTAAGGTTACAAGTTCTCCAAAAACAAGAAATACCCTTCCAAGTGGGATGTGCCCTGCTCTAGATAGAAGCTATTCTCCTGCCTTTAACTGCGTAACCACAGACGCCTTTTCCAGAGGGCCTGTGCCCAGCTGTACGATGACAGTGCCTTTTGCCCTGTCTGTTCCACGTACAGCCTCGGCCCTTGCTTGTTCTGCTTACTGTCCTCCGCTGCATACACATAGGGGAGCTTCTGCTCTTCTCCCTCCATGGTACCCAGCTTCCTCATGCATTAGTTAACTTATTTTTGCAGCACAGCAATGGCACTACATGTTATCAATTCTACAGTAGGAGAACTAAGAGACTGGGGCTAAAACTATTAAAGTGTCTGGTAAATATCAAGTCCGGGATTGCTGTCAAGAGTTCTTAGCCTTACACAGCGTTTCACATGTTCAAAGCATAATTTCCATTAACTTCAAATACAGCTGTAAGACCAGCATAGCAACGCTAAATGGAAATGATGGTAAACACACTGCTCTAGCATTTCTTGGTGGGTATTAAGAAGCGGGGAAAAATTTAACATCAAACTAGAAAAACCTCAACTCGCACCGTTACCTGCTGTGCGAGAGCTCAGCCCTCTGCTGAGCTATTCCCAAGCGTCCCTTGCGGAGTGGAAAACAAGCGGCGATCAGCTGCGAACAGTTTAGTTCAGCCCATGTGCCCACCACAGGAGCAATCCCAAGCAAACGCTTAGCAGGCTGCAGCGTTTGGGGCGGGGGTCTTGTCAGTTTAGACTTCTTCACTTGTTTTGGCAGACAGCAGAGGCACCTCTAGGCTGGTGTTAAGCTTTCTGAACTGTCTGAACAGACAAGCAGACCTGTTGGGACTCACAGTATGGCTTCACATCATTAAGCATCGTTGAAGTTTATTCCAGCTGCTAGGAGCGGGTTGCCTCTCTTATTTTTTTCTAAGCAGGGGCCTGATGCTGCCTTGCCCTCCTTAAATGTTAACTCTGCATCCAACAGTCTAATCTTATTATTGTTTATGCAATCCCTTGCCTTACCTATTATTTAATGCCAACCTCCGGGAGCAAAAAAAAGCCTAAATCTCCCTGCACTGCTCTGGCAGGGTCCTTTGGAAACAAGCACGTGATCATACAATCAGAGAGAGCAGCAAACCACACAGAATAACGTGGTGAGGTTGGACTTGCAAGCTCTATTCCTTTACTTCCTTTGCATTTCAGCTTGGAAGAGCAGTAACATTCTCTTTTAACATAAGTTCATAAGACTCCTAATTAAAACAACAGAAAGTATCACAGTGACTCCTAGCTATGCTCCTAAGGTCATGGAATTAATGTAGGAGCTGGTAGCATGAGGACACGTCACCCACGGGGAGGAGATGGTGAGGCGAGGAGGAGGAGCTGTTTTGCAAAGGGACCTTGGAGCTGCTTGCTGAGAGCAAGAGGAATCAACAGATTTGGTCTCTCTAAGGAGATTTTGGAAGAAAGTGGTTGGGTTTTTTTAATATAAAATCTGCTCATCCCCTGCGGTCTACCTTCCTGCCCCTTCCTTACAGCTTTCCCCCTCTTTCTCTTCTTCTGATTCTTTTCCCTTCCCTCAGTACTGAGCCCTGCTAGCTCTCGCCCAGCCTGCCTGCGTGCGCTGCTTGGCTGCCCTTTTTGCCTCGTGCAACTTAAGCAGAGCTCAGGTACAGTCTGCCACCTCCTAACAAATGGGGTTTGTCAGCTCTTAAGTAGGACAAGCTTTTATTAAGACAGAAAAGGGAATGACTGCTTCCTAAAACTACCTGAAATGCTAAAATAAGAAATAACCCTTTCAACATTCCATTTAATCTGCAATGCTGCGTGTGTTTACAAGATACTGTGTTTTTTGAGGGGCAGTACTTGAAGGCTTAAATGGAAGCACAGCGGGTTGTTCTTTGGTGATTCTTGAACGGTGAACTATGTTCCTTCAGGCATTTGTAACACCGAAATGGCTCCTCTAACACATGAGAACCTTTGCATGTCTATAACAAAGCAGCAGTATAATTTATTAATCCAATTTACATTCAGAACACTCTCATTTTGTTCTTAATGCTGAAGTTGGTTATCACTGCTCCTTTGTCAGATGAGCCAAAGCAGCTGTGGTTGATATTTCTGGCCAGGGCTGTAACAGCATGGGTATCTGCTGAGGGGCTCCAGCATTATAAATCTGCTAAAGCTGCAATGCCAGCATGTGTAGAGGCAGCCATTTGTGTCCAATTTTTGTAGGAGGCTCCGAAATTTGGGGCTGCTGTGGATGGTCAGGCCCTTGGGGCTGCCTGGGTGTGAACACCTCGGGTTGATGGGTTTTACTGGATTGCTGGACAGAAGTTTTCTCAGGGGGTGTGTGTGCGTGTGTGTGTCAGAGTTACCCCAAATAAGGCCACAAAAACTGGGCTTTGAAAACCGCAGAGACTGGATAGGTCAGGAAGTATCCTACCAAACCCAGAGCTGCCACTGGAATGAAAGTGATTTTTTGTCTAGCTCAAGGCAGGCCTTGCTGATGTAGGGCAGACAGAATGGTTCAAACTGCAAGCTTGGGCAGCAAAAAGCATGTGTACAGCCTGGTATCATGTCCAGCCTCATTGGCAAGTCACAGGTGACAAGTGGATCCACAAGTGGATCGCTTTCAATTTCTACTCCCAAGACTTCCCTTTTGTCTTCAAGGTGGGGAAAGAATCACTGAGCCTAGGGAAAAGTAGATTATCTCTGCAGCCTAGCAATAGTGAGATACACTCAGATACGGAAGACAGAAGTTTGTGTTCAAGTTGTTTATCCTGACGGAATATTGAATTATTTCCTTGGGAATGTTTCCCTTGATAGGAGAGACTAGCAAAACATCATCCTGAATGCCTAATTTTCAAGACACTTCTTTACAGCTAGGTTAAGGGTGCTTGGGCTGTTTATTCGTGAAACCTGGGGCTCTCTGGAGATAATTCACAACTCTTGCCTCCCCCATGCCCTACTGGCTACTTTAGGTAGTTTACCAGGCTCAGTGAATGCCATTTGTAGGTGAAAATTGTACGAACAGCCTGAGCTAAGTCGAAGAACTTATGTGGGTGATTCCCTGTCAATACGTTCTTTTGCTTCCCATCGATGGAGAAATCCAGAGAATGGATGCTAAGGGAAAAAATATGTATATACATTCTCAAATTCTTTCATCATAGTATCATAGCAGGCACAAGCCATGCTCAAGGCTCAGACTGTAGAGATGAATATCCTGCAGGGTAGAGACTCTGTGCGTCCTACTGCTTATAGCCAAATACCGTTCTTCCTAGCTGCTCACCAGTATGAACTGAAGACTTCCCTCGGCAACTGAGTACTCTTCAAAAGATTGTTGTGTTTAAGTGACATTCCTGAGCAGATGGCCTATGGTTCCTAGTACCAACAGTATGCATCTTTTTCTATGGCTTCTTGCTGCATGCATCAAATAATACATTCATCTGAAACGGTTACTGAAGGCGTCAGAATTTTACTTTTCTGTGTTTCAGTTCTCTCGTTCCTTGATAGCAGAGGAATAAGGCAGATAAATCTCACATCACTACCAAAACATGAGTTATTCTTGAGATTCTTCTTTCTTTGAGTTTCTTTCCCCCTGCACTCGGCACTGGTGAGGCTGCACCTCAAATACTGTGTTCAATTTTGGGCCCCTCACTACAGGAAAGATGTTGCATTGCTGGAACATGTCCAGAGGAGAGCAAGGAAGCTGGTGAGGGGTCTGGAGCACAAGGCTGATGGGGAGCAGCTGAGGGAGCTGGGGGTGTTCAGCCTGGAGAGGAGGAGGCTGAAGGGAGACCTTATTGCGCTCTGCAACTGCCTGACAGGAGGCGGTAGCCAGGTGGGGGTTGGTCTCTTCTCCCAGGTAATGGGCGATAGGACGAGGGGAAATGATCTGAAGTTGCGCCAGGGCAGGTTTAAGTTGGACATTAGGAAAAATTTATTCATGGAAAGGTTTGTCAAGCACTGGAAGTGGCTGCCCTGGGAAGTGGTTGAGTCCCCATCCCTGGAGGTATTTAAAAGCTGGGCAGACGAGGTGCTTAGGGACATGGTTTAGTGGTGGGCTTGGCTTTGTTAGGTTAACGGTTGGACTTGGTCTTAAAACTCTTTTCCAACCTAAACGATTTTATGATTCTAAAAAGCACCTGCATCTTGCTATATCCCAGTCATTTGCCCACCTGTAACAAAAACTCTGAACTCAGTATTGGAAACACAGAGGAGCCTTCACATCAAGTAGTGGAGTAAAAGGTGAGGAAAGTTTCCAGTGCAAAGCAGTTTGACCTTTTAGTCCATAAATTCTCACTATGGCTCATCAGTAGAGGTAGTCTTGTGTAACAGATAAGGTTTCCTTGGTGTGTGCATTTCTTACTGTCCTCTTCCCTAACATTTGAAATTACCTCTCGCCTAAAATTGGAGAAGTTTATCATATTTCCCAGCCTTTCGAATATACACATTATCTAGAAGCTGGTCTGTTTTCTAAATCAAATTCCATCCTAATCTAGTGGCTGAAAAGGATCTGCATCCGCCAGATGATGTACACAAGCCACAGCATGTTGTCAGTAATGACATTCAAGCTAGGCTCTGTTCTCTTGTTTAGTCTGGGAACGTGTAGCACTCTTTTTACAGGCTGCAAGGGTTTAGACTAGATGGGAGCAAAACAAGGAATAAGGTAGATGGAAGCGTGGGAAACCTGGTGGAAAGTTCTTTCCCAAAGGCAGGGAAGGGATGTGTCTTTCTGTCTCCACAGCATCACTTATACTAAGTTCACCGATGGGCTTATGCATCCGATTTATGTTGCAGAAAGTTGTCCCGTGTCTAGACTTGTGAGAGAGCTAAAGCAAAAGGCAATGAGGGATCACATGCACCTGAAATTTTGGCAACACGCTTGTTTGAATCCAGTTTCCTCATCGGACAAATAATTAGTGGCTGGCTCCACATAGTGGTTTCTCATGTAATTCCACTGAGTAGGGGTTTGGTATTTGGTATTTTCTCTCCCAAAATAGCATTGTATTAGTTTTCCAGAGAGGTGCCATTTGCAAGCCCGAACAGTCTTGCAGCCTTTGCATTTGCAGTAGAACAGTGAAAGCTGGCTGGGGTCCTTCTGGCCAGTCCCACTTGTGGCTGGAGAGATTGGGGATTAGGAAGATGGTTGTGTTCTCATGCACATCACTGAGTGTGGTATCAGGTGTCTGCAGAGATAGGGATAGCGTATCAGTGGGTGAGTTTGCCCTCTA